TGAACAAGAGCACTGCATCGGTCACCCAGACCATCAACTTCAATGGCTCCAAACTCAATGCAGGTATCATTATGATCCACAAATCTAAAGTACTGAGGGGGAGGTCACCTTAAGGACCAGGGAACAGCTTTGCTCAATCATTTTATCGAAACACAAAATCATACTTTTCAGCCAATCGTAGTCCTGGATTGCGAATATTCGATAAGGGTTAATTGAAAATGGGAGTTTAATCCTAACATAAAACGAGAAAAATATTTTCCAATGACTGTGCACATAAAATCCAAGGGGGAAAAGTAGAGAACAGCAAACAATACCTACAGTATAGCCTCACTCGATGACTAGAAAATGACAATGACGTTGAAGGAAAATTACGCTGGAGTTGTATTGGAAATGACAGAGCAGCTAGCTCAGCCTTGTAATTTTCATGTAAGAATTTTATTCATTATTGGTAGAAAAAAATCACTTATTATCGATTTTAACATTCAATCTATTCTGGTGATTTTTGTCCTGGAGAACTTACTGAGCATCAATTGCTTACGTTTTGTGAATTCAATTCTTCAATGCGAGATACAGAAATCTTGTGAGCATTTTTGTTGAAAAAATAATCTGAGACATCTTCATTTCTTAAAGGGATTTAGGCAGATGGAGAAGTGTGTTTTAACATTTTGGAATTAAAAATGGTCAATTTAGAAACAGATTTTCAATCATTGTAATAGATTTTTTAACTGCTTTGAGAGATTTTAAAGTGTTTTCTGTTGGTTTCATTGGAAAGGATGTAGTAGAATTGATTTCTTAACAAATAATAGATGTGGGGATGTCTACAGATGCAAAATTTTATTCTCAGGATTTTTCGATGACAATATTAGAAATTAAAAATTTCATTCATAATTCTATTGTTTGAAGAAGATTTCTCTGGGTGGAGAAGCTTTAGGGGATACCGTTAGAAGTGCAGAAGAGTCTCATTAAAATTTTTAGTGTGAAAATTGAATAATTGAGGTAAATCAGGTTTCGTTTATTTGTCAGATCTTCAGCCATTATGTTATGATGTCTTATTGATTATCTGGGGATGGAAGGTTTCGAGAAAACTATTGAAGGAATATTTTTGTTGATTCAAACAGGTGTCTCAAAATAATTGAGACCCTGTTTGAGTCAAACGAAACTGTTTAATTTGGAGTATCACTTGAATTTTACAGTCAATTTTTCATAATTTCTCCTAATTTCCTCAATATAAAATAATTCCTCTACAAAATCTGTGAATTCAGTATTGAAAACTCGATTTTTTTTTAGTTTTTCATCTCTATTCTCTTTGAGAGGGCAAGAGGTTAAAAAAATATCTAATTTCGTATTCTTTAATTTCTTTAAAAATGATTTATCCACCTCGGACTGCCCTTAATGTGTTCCATAACACTTTCGTCCTGATAACTATTGAATCCCAAAATTGAACAAACGGAAATAATTTGTGGGATTTAGATTTTCCAATATTTGGGTCTTAATCAAATCGTGATACCTCTGGTGATAAGTCTAGCAGAAAAGTTTTCTGAAATAATGTTATCTTTGTGTTTCTTATCTGTATTTATAGAAGCTTTTCGGCGAAAGCTAGTTCCAATAGTAATTTGATGATCGAATTAGAAAGCAAGCAGTCTCAATAGTATGATTCATTTTTTTATGTGGTACAACAGCAGAAATAACTCTCAATCCGTTATCTCCGTATGAGAGAGTAACTGCACGTTGAAGTTGAACATCCGCAGGAACTGTTGGAAAAGGAGAGAATTATTGTCTGGAGAGATCTTCCATTTTCGAGGACCAGGTAGTGTGAAGGAAATTGGAGCGACCGGAGGGGAATAAAATCTGGGGGTTTTAATCCAAGGTGTTCATTACACGTCAAAAGAACCGGAGTGAGGATGAGGGGAAATTTTCAGATCGAAGACTGCTGAAGCCTGGAAAATAAGCCAATTGGCTTTTGAAGAGAGCATGTCGGTGATCTCGGTTAAATTTGCACATCGCATATCGAAAATTTGTAATGAATCGATGAGTTCAATGGTCCCAGTAAATTTTTACATACATATCGTGTCGAAGATACTTTAATAACAAGAAAACAATGAGTATGAGGATGCAGCCAAATGATAGGAAACCAGGTAGGAAACTAGGAATGATCCGAGAGTTGCTGGGACGTTATGATGCCAATAAGGAGTACGAGTTCAATTAGAGATGTGGAGGGCGGAACAGTGGAAGCCGTGATAAGCTGACGTCAAAAACAAACAGAAAATTGGAGGAGGATATGAAACTCAAGGAGCTATATCTATGAGAGGACAAATGTGTGGAGATTTTGGGATGATAATTTTCACCTGATGAAATGGTAGAATTTTAATCGACCAGGGTTTTTTTCAAAGTATAGAAGCATTACTCAAAATGAGTAACAAACTATTGACTTTTACTCTGGCAATTTCGAAATATATATTGACAATAGTCCTAAACATTCATTTTTTCATCACGTCTAATAAAGCAAGAGACATTCACGTGAAAAAATCACTTGACATATGATTAGCATATAATGACAGCATTTTTTTTAGCATTGAAAAATTGTTAGGTGGTGAATATTTTCGTATTAGGTAAGGTTAAGGGTTATCTGGGCTTTCTAGGAGATGCAGGTGCGGTTAATGGGATCAAAGACAGGAAAATGAGTTAATTTATGAATTAATATAATGTAATCAAAACTTTTCAGCGTAAAACAATGCCTATACACAGTGAGGTTCGAAATAAAAATGGCGTCGCGTCGTCAGCTAGCTATAATGGGTAAAATAAGCGACGAGCGCAGACACTTTGCGCTGGGTTGAATGAGCATATCCAGTGCGCATGCGGTGCCATGCGGTGATTCAAATCACTGTTAGAGAACAAATTTCGTTTCCTGAACAATGTGGTAGCAATTTTTAGAAGAGTAACATTTGATCCAATCAATTTAGATAGGAATTATCAGGGGATTTTGCATCTTAGGTCAAATTCAAAAGAATAGTATTTTGTTTACGAAAAATGCGTTCTCTTGGACTGATAAATATAGTTGTGCTTTCGTTGGAAAATAAGTAATAGTTGTAGGTTTCCATGAAATTACTTGGCTTCTACTATCACAAGTCTCAATTGATGAGTACGTAAAAAATTTCCTTTCAAAGGAAGAAATTCATTTTCTATGTGATATAATGGAGCAATAGATTTACGCATAATTTAGAAGAAACAGTAGATTTTAAGGGTCGAGGAGTAATGGAAACACAAAATTGATATTTTTCCAGAAAGTTCAGTTTTTTTTGGAACATAAAAAACACAAAAACAAATGTTTTTATAAAAAAACTGGGCCAAGAAAAAGTTTTGTTCGATTCCTACCGGGAAATCAAAGTTTTTGAAAAATACATAGAAGTAAAAAAGGAAGCCAAGTTAGGAATTTTGAATAAATGGTGATAGTGCACATTCAGGTTTCTATAAGAAAAATAGTTCTCAATGGAATAAGTATTCTAAAAAAATTCTCCATGAAATGAAAAATCAGTAGGAGCAGGACCAACGTTCTTGGCGCGGAGTTTTTCAATTCACTGTCTGTATCAATCTATTCCTCCATCCTTTGATCCGCGCCAAGGACGTGGCGCGGAGTTTTTCAATTCACTGTCTGTATCAATCTATTCCTCCATCCTTTGATCCGCGCCAAGGACGTTGGTCCTGCTCCTACTGATTTTTTATTTCATGGAGAATTTTTTTAGAATACTTATTCCATTGAGAACTATTTTTCTTATAGAAACCTGAATACTATTACCATTTATTCAAAATTCCTAACTTGGCTTCCTTTTTTATTTCTATGTATTTTTCAAAACCTTCGATTTCCCAGTAGGAATCAAACAAAACTTTTTCTTGGCCCAGTTTTTTTACAAATCATTTGTTGTTGTGTTTTTAGACAGCTTTCATCATTTTTTTCAAAATAAGCAAGGACTGTTTTTACATCTGGTGAAATTTGTTCTTTTCATTTCAATTTAACTGATTCATTTTTCATAAGATACAACATTTTTTGAATTAACAATTGAAGGGAAATAAACAGTTCTACTCCAGATTTATTCTCTCTACCGAATTTCAAATTTTAATCATCTATTAACAATTTTCTGACTTGATTTGGTTCTTCATTCAATTTTTGCTCTGATGATTCCTATATGGATTGTATTTTGTGGAGAGATGAACTGATTTCCTTATAGGAATAGTCGAACAAAATGTCCACAATGAATTCTTTTTGAAAATATCTGTTTTTTTTTGTTTTTAAAAATATTAGGGAAACATTGGGTGGAATGGACTCTTCTGACTTCTTATTTCAATATTTATAACCAAGGAACAAATTTATCGATTGAGCTCAGTCTAACCTTATTACAAAGGGGCTGACTGTACGAGGCTGAAAATTTAGGACAGAGGTGTCCTGAATATGTACATAAAATGAAGGACAATTTATTCATTATTGATACATCCGCTCCCATCTTCCAGTTCAATTCAGTGCTAAGAACTGGTGTCAAGCAGTTGATTGAACTTTGTGTCACTGATTAAGTTGAAAAAACATATTGTGTAATTGGTTCGATCATTCGCATTTTATACATGTTATACGTCAATTGAGGTTGAAAAAATGGATTGAAAGAATTCGAGAAAGAGCAACTTGATGAAAACTGTGAAGAAAATAAGCAATCCAGGAGCTGTAGCAGTAAAAGAGTACTAATGAATACCACAAAAGTTGTTAATGGTGAAAATAACAAAGGAATGACACCGAGGAAGGGAATTTCGTAGCGAAGTAGAATGTCGAGATGAGTTGAAAACTCATGTTTTCATTCCTTCATTATTTCAAAGAAGAACGTCTGAAATGATCGAGGATTCTCAATCTCTAATAAAATTTCTTCAATGAGACAGACAACTTGGTAATCCTTTGTAATCAAACTCATCATTCAAATAACGAAGAAAAGGAAAATTGAATAATTACAATTCTTTTTTTTTCAACTCCAGTTTAATAAGTGGCATTTAGGGTAGCCCATTTGAGAAAAAAAAATAAGTTGATAAGTGAAAGGAATATATCCCACCGGGAGGTTTTTTTTTGAAGTACGTGAGTGGGTCCTCTCATACATTTGAACAGCCTGCTGACACCCGGGATAATCCCTCATGTTGTTGGCTGTCCCCATCAAGTGCCTGTTTATCATAGTCACCCAATTTGGAATGAAGCGTTCCGTGGAGATTTTCACGATTTCGTGGTGGAGAGACCTACGATGGTCACTGCGTTCACAGAATAACCAGGTGTCCTTAACATCATCCAATACCCTCTTTATCAACACTGTCGTTATCGATTGCCAAAAATATACTTTCGTTATTATTATGAATAAACACTTATGTATTTGTTGGCATATTATGTCGAAATTTGATTTCTTGTTATTGCTTGCTTGTGGTCTCAGAAATCCTCGTCGACAGTTGCAGCAGTCGTCAATAATTTCTTTCAACAAAGGATTCCGCAATAATTTTTCTTTAATTTTATCAGCAGAATCAGTGAGATTAGTTTCTAGTTCCTCCTCACCACTGAGACGAGCAATCTGAGTATCTGTGAAGTAAGCTGGAAGTTCATCTTCTTTATCCACAGCTACTATGATCCTGGGGCCTTCAGCTGCCTCTAGACGATCTTCTGTTATGAAACCCTCAAGTGTAAATAGAAGATCCCCGTCACAACTTTGTTCACAGTTAAATCCATTTTTTTTTACCTTTGATAAATTTGATATGAGCAATGCTCTATAGTTTCCCATAAATTGCCAACACGAAGGACTAGAGCGGAGACCTCCATATGAACGGATACCCCCATTGAAATTTTCTAGAATATCCTGGCTTATGTGTTTGGCAATGAGTTCAGTAAATCCTTTTGTTTGTAGGAACTCCCACAACTTTTGAAGTGCTTCGATTGTCATGATGATTCCTGATAACGCGTAATCTGGGTTTTTTGGTTTCGAACGCGAAACAGGATCGATATAACGCATTCTACGTAGTTCGCATAAAGCTTGATCCCAGAACTCATGGTGTGGGCTGTCGGAGAAAACAATACTCCTGAGTGATGGATTACTAGCTGTCGGTGGTAGTTTTCCATTGAAGGAGTCGAAAATATCATTAAATAGCCTCAAAGCTCGTGCTATGTTCACGGCTTCATCTTTTTTGATAGGCTCGACGTCAAATGCACCAACAAAACCTATAAAGAGTAAAAAGCGGTTTGGTAAGTTTTGAAATTATATTGATCATAATAAAATGTAAGTTAAAAGAAAGTGGGAATGACAGACAATGAGAAAGAATTTATCTAACGGGAAAAAAATTATTTGCAGACACTAGAAAAATTTCAGACGCACAGATTCAATTGTAATGGGATAGAAAATCATCGACAGATATATTTACAGCTTCATGAAATGCAATTGTAGAGAGTAAAATGATGATGAAAAATGATCCTCATGTCTCAAGTCACCAAAATAATGTTCAACGGTTTTTCAATCGCCCGATCAAACCGAAAAAAATCTACACCCTTGAGAAAAACACCTGGCGTATTTGAAAGGTTTAAGGTTTTTGAAATTCGAATATTCGCATAGATGAGAACGAAAAATCATAAAAAGTGGCACTCAAATATTTCCATAAGTTTCTGTACCTTCGCGACGTTAAATTTAATGTAATGTAATGTAGGGCTCACCTCTTTCAGCGAATGATGTAATACAATCAGCTACCGACCTGTTTAACACCTACACGGCATGTTTCACCTTCATTTTATTTATTTTCTCCCCGTAAATGTGTGCGTCTGTTCATTTGTGCATTCTAGGATTCAATTCATTAGATTGCTGATCGATTTTATAAGCTTTTTGGATGACATCCCACCTCGCTAGCTCCAGTTCAGATTTAACATTTTGTTTTTTGCTGACTTTCGCTGGAGGTGAGTTCGGATCATAATTCATTTGCAGATGCTTATTCAGGAAATTGTTTCGTTGGCCTTTTCCCAAATGAGAAGGATCGAAGGCAGGAATCAACTCACACTCGTCAATTATAATGGCATTACCTCAAATACACATGAAAAGGTCCAGTTCAGAATAATTTTGATTTCATTTTACCATCGTCACACAAATAAATCAATTGAGAATAGAAAAATTCTTATGACATCAATGCTGGGAATGATTGATTGGCGACATCATTGTATAAGAAGAAGTTTCTATGTGATCATTAAACTGACGTTTTTGTTGATCTTTGGCGACATTCCAAAAAATAGCAGTGCTTATATCGTTATCAACAACGAAAGAGCAAACCAAACATTCATTAGAATAATAATCAACATATCAGTGAACATCTCAAAATTTTTTAAATTATTTTCAGTTATCAATATGTCTCAAACTGTTCACATAGATTTTTCCATATTTATAGCAACAACAATACCAGGCAACGACCAATTGAATGAAAATGAACTATAACATTAAGTCCAACAACCTTCAATAATACGTGTGAACATTCAAGAAAAAAATATATAAAACCAAAATTGTGAATGATTCTCTTTAAGATTGCGTAACTAATATGAATATGAACTCACGGTCACGATCTCCTTTAGCCTTTCGGATTTTATTCGACTCGGCGGTAAGCTCATTTATTATTATCCTGTTTGAAGAAGACTGGTCACAAACAGAAACTTTCACATGGAAGCCTGCTTTGTGTACCTGTTCGGTAACGAATTTTATGCACTGTTTCAGGTCAGGTGTGATCTACATACAGGATCAGAGTATGATCTGCAAAATTAGGAGTACGTCTGTACCCCCAATCTTCGAAGCCCAGAAGTGTGTCAGACCTCTTGTCATGCTGAACGTGTAATTGCAAATTCATTTCATCCCAGATGATGATGACGTACTTTTCTTTCTCATCCATTCGTTTTCCAAATTCCCGCAATTTTTCTACAACTCCAGTCAGTCCAGGAGAACAAAGGACTTTCTCTAGTGTTGCATTGAGTGTCGTTGGTCATGGTAGAATCAGGTTTGACGAGTAAAAATCGTAGGCTTGGCGAGATTTCTACATCAGAGTAAGAAACATTACTTTTTCAGACCCTGAGAATCTTCTCCCCTAATATAAAATAATCAAACAGCATGCACTTAGGAGGTGAAAGGTAGGAAAATTTTTCGGTGAAGGCTCATTAGTACAAGTGAATATTAGAAGTATTAACAAAGGAAATGATACTTCAGGAACCTGCTCGCTTATCACATAATCCAAGGATCCATGGAAGAAAGATTGGTCATACTAAGGATAGGAGAAAATTATGAATCGAAATGATAAAAGGCTCAAACAACATAAAAATAATATTTTTCATATTGATCAACATTCATTCCGCATTTACTGCATCTCATGGATCTAGTTGCTCTTCATCACCTTCTTATCGCCGAAGTTGAACTATAAATATAACCATATTGTAATCGAAATAAATTATTATTATTATTATAATTATTATTATTATTCTAAATTTTTTTCTAAATTGTTATCATTATTCTAAATCTTGAATCCACTGATAACATTTCAAGTGGCTGAGGAGAATTCTCTTGATGAATATACAATAGTAGTAGGCAAATATGATTTCACTATTAAAAAGCTTATAAAAACTTTCTAAATTATCATTTCGCAAGATTCTATAAATATGGTACGAATTAAAGATTTAGGTGACTCAAATTGTCTAAGAAAATATTGTAATAAACAAATCTGGATATTTTATTGCAATCAAGGGGATTATTGCGCCACAGAATTCGACATATTATTGAATGAGAATTTTTCTGGAGAAACCGCCAACAGCCTCAATGATTTATCATCTCTTTCCTCCCACATTTCAAGATTTGATTTCTCACGTAATAATATTAAAACTAAAATATACGTTATCGTGTGAGGTTTCTCAGCATTCCGTAGAAGCATTCCAATAAAAATTCTCTGTGTACGTGTCAATTTCTCCCACTTCCTGACTCGATACGATTTTAAAAGGGGCTCCAACTGCTTCAATCGTTTAGACTGCCTTATTGCTACCAAATAGGATTTTCTATATTTCAATCTTAGAGTTTGATTCTGCTGCTTCAATTTTTCAATTTCAGCTAGTAGTTCCTCATTATTAGACGATGACTGGATTTTTTTACTCTGATGTATACGTGAAGATTCTTGAGTTTGTCTCTTCTGTTTTTTTGCAGCTAATGGTATCTCATCAAGATTGTCCATAGTTTTACTCAATCTCTTCACAACACGTTCCGATTGCTCGCCAGTATGACTCTGGAATACATCCCTTACTTCTAGTACTCCTTCTTTGATTTCTTCCATTATCTCATTCGGTCCATTATTATTAACGGATATTATTGCCTTTAATCCAAGCCTCAGTGTTGGAACAGCATTAGTATTAAGTGTGTTTCGTTGGGAACTATTTGAATAGTCAGACGGAGTAAAATGTAAGCCACAGACGTGGTATTTGTGCAGATCTTCTGGTCTTATATTTTCCAAAATTGGTGAATTAATATTTTTTATCCAGTTTTTGTAAAGCCACTCTGCCTTCGGAATGTGATGCTGTTTTTTTGCTGTTGAACCGCACCCGGGCACAACACATGTCGGCATTTTGGAGTACGTCGTATGAGCATCGAAATTTTAAATGAGCATTAAAATGGTTCTTCAATCATGGCAACCAATGAAACTTTCAAACAATAAAATATTGGAATATGAATTTACGGAGAGGAATAATGATCCCCCTGGATGATGAAACTCGTTGTAAATGAACACATCACATATGACGCTCCAAAATCAACCAGCTCCCGCAACACAGTTCCCGAGTAAAAATTTGATTACAAATACTGTCTTTCAGTTTTTAAAAATCAAAAATTGTTCGGCACATCAATAATATTCAGCTAAGAGCATAAAACTATCCAAACACTCTCCCTAATTGTTTAACACTACGGACATTAAGAAAGTCCGAATGCACCATTAATTTACATCCACAGTTAAAGATCGATAACAAAATCATCAGAGAATTTATGAGGTTTATCACTGAATATTTCTATCGACTTTTTCATCATTGTAGTTCCAATACTCCGGCTAACATCTTGAAAATCTAAGTTATCAAACGAAACATAACAATCATCCCAAATCATCTCTCCCGCAATTATATGCATGCGCGAACACCGGTCGTGACGCCGAACAAAAATTTTGGAACTACCCTCCTGTTTAGTTTTTTATACGGGACTTGATAGACCCTGCTCATCCTGCATGATGTTGAAAGATGCTGGACTAAATTTTCTACAATTCAATTGCAATTGGTTAAAAACTCGGATATGACTGGGGAAATGAGTTTACGCATGAATGAAAACCAATCAAATGACCTGATCCGTAAGAGTTTGCTATGCAATGGTCAACACAATCGTATCACTTAGGTTGATTTGGTTCGCAAATCTATCGCTTTTTTTTAATTAAAGCAATAACTGATATACTATTTCATGTCCACTAATCGTGGACGAACTGTTTTACCGACGGTCATCGAGCTATTGATAACGATGGTAGTGACATCCTGCGTCACGGATACACCTACAGTATATCCATCTAACGGAGGGGAACTGCACTACAATTTTTCTGGGGGTTCCGTTTCCCCTTATAAAGAAGTTCCTACTGACTATAAAATAGTCTGTTCAAAGTTCACTAGTGGTGTAAATAAAAGTGTAATCATTCGATCCAGATAATAATTACCGGTGCCATCGTAATTTTTATGACCTCCTAAAGCTTACAAAAATTTCTCATTCTGAGAGGTTATGTTGCTCTCGCAGCTTAATCTCACCGATTCACACACTCTCACCGATGAACGTCTCTGATTTACCCAAACTAACTACCGTTATTGAAGCCCTTGCTGAGGACAATGCGATTCCCTGTTTCAACATCTCTGACTTCTACAATATCGCTGATATGCCCACAGCATCTTCAAGCCCGATTCCTGCTGTCAAACGTAAGAGAAAATCTCCGCCTAGTCACAAGTCATCTCAAGATAACAAGCAAACAAAACTATTTGAATTCTCATTCAGACGAACTAAAAAGTCTCCCACAGCCCACAGCATCTTCAAACACGATCCCTGCTGTTAAACGTAAGAGAAAATGTCCACCTAGTCACAAGTCATCTCAAGCTAACAAGCAAACAAAACTATTTGAATTCTCATTCAGACGAAGTAAAAAGTCTCAGAGGAGTAATTGCTTATCGTCCACATCTGAAAAGTCGAATTCTGATCTCTTTGCCTCTCTCTCTCTCTCTAACCACTCATATGATTTCTCAATATCCAACAAAACCTCGAGCACATCTACAATATCTTCACCCACTCAACTGCAGCAACAGTCTGACAGTTTAGACACCCGACTGATGCGAATTGAAAACAATGCTGCAGCTCAATTTGAGAAATTTGCAAAATTACTGCAGGACTCTATTGATAATACTACTGGGCTGAAGAATGATTTATCATGATATAAAAATGAGATTGACTTGACCTGTCAAAAGCTGGAATCCAAAATTGACACCAATTCTGCTCATCTAGAAGCTCAGCATGATAATCTTAAGAAATATGTTGAAGAGAAATTCATGCGGCTTCAGAGAAATAGTCATGTTCAAGGACCTTCAACCCAGCCAGACCCCACAGTCATCAATCGGCGGAAAAGAATTGATCAGCTTGTTATGTCCGGAGACGTTATCAGCGTCGAAGGACAACTATATGAATTTTATTTGGAATTCCGGTGACATGGGGCTAAAACTCTGTTTAGAAAATAATTAATAATTAAAATCCATTTTAGAAATTGTAATTTTATATTTACCGTTAATTTAATTTATTTGGACGACGCTAAGTTTCGTTTACTGCTCTTACCTGATTTCGTAATTTTATTGAGTTTTTGCAAAGGGGGTTCGAGGAGTTTTCCAAGGATGGGAGGAAAATAAGAAAAAGATTCCGAGATATGTTTCTAATTTAACGGAATTGAATTTATTTCCTTTTATCTTGATTACATGACAAAGATTTTAACTCGATTAAATGCTTTTTATTTGTTTCTTTGAATGAATTTAAAGTTAAAACAGAATTTTGCCTGGAGGGTTTCTCTTGGAGATTTAGGCAGTTTGATCAAATTTCAATTCAAATTCTTCATTTTTTTTCTACTCACTACTTATGTTGAGTACTTTATATTGCGACTCCTTCGGTATTCCAAAGACGTTTTCTTTACCAGTGATAAATAGTTTCACTTAACAATATTATAAATACTTGGCCTTGAAACACGTTCACCCACTCGAATTAACAAAAATGTTTAATCTTTAAAATCCAAAACTTTTAAGTTTTTTTTTTTATTAATAGTTCTTAGTCTGTTGAGAATGTTCACACTCCGATAATTATGACTAATCCTTTAAAATGCAAGAGCCAACGCTACTTTCGATTAAAGAATCACAGATCCCCGTGCACTTCAGTCCGATCACAAATTTTACTATTATTTAATTAGTCACTGCGCGTAATATCGACTTTTATGCGTATTATTACAAAGAGGGTTGAAGAGACAGATCGATTCCACGTTAAAAAGACTCCACCGGGATAGTCACAACTCCGAAGATGTTTCTAGACTGCCGGGCCAGTATAAAATTTTTAGGAGTGCGGGTGTCATGAAGGTTCGCGTCAAAATTTTATTGGTGGAAAAAGTGGCGTGATTTTCCCACTTCAAAATTTTTCTACGGTGGGAGAATCTGTCTGTTCAGCAATTTTCAGGTGTTGCAAGCGACAGGCGAGGTGCTTGACCGTGCTCGCGAACACCTGCAGTATTGCCTTGACAGCAGTTTCATGTTTAGAATTACACATTGGATAAATTTTCTCTGATTATTTGTTATTAAAATATTTTTTTCTCTTAAGATTTCCTTTATCTTATCCGCGACAGGAAATGAGATGTTGGTTTTATCTTTAAGTCGTGTGGATTGCAGCGGGAATGAATGTCATTCCTTAGGAATCGTGTTTCTTCCATGAGTCCCATTGACTTCTTTTTCTTAGAGATTCTCAGTCTCCCTGAGAGTCTCTAAGAGAAAAGAGGTGTATTTGACCGAACAAGCAAGACAAAGATTTCTGGACATCACAAGCTAGAGAGAGAAAGCAAAAAACTCAATATTGTGATTCGAGGTCTCATAATTTCTGCCTCAACAGCTGAGCGAGACGTGAAGAAACTTATCGGAAATTAATTTAACCTCCCGGATGCTGTCTCTCATGTTCGGTAAGTTGCAATTCAAGGGAAAAACCCTAATGTTATCATTGTTTAGCTTAACTCACTCGATAGCAAGTTCAAAATTATGAATACGAAGAAACGTCTTATTAAAAATTCTGCAATGCGAAAGGT